ACGAATTGAAAGCGATTTAGCGGGAAAATGCTGATTGCGGGCGACTTAAATGAAATGGCAAATGTTGAAGGAGTTGAGTAGAATTTTTTTTTGTTTTTGTTTTTTGGTTTTTTTTTGTGTTTTTTAAACTAAACAAACAAAATTCGCAAACGATGATGACATTTATTGTACAAAATGGCAGTTATACAAAAAAACAAAAAACAATATTAACGATGACATGATCGACATACATACATATTGAGAATTAGAGTTTTTAATATGTTTATGCATTAATATAATAATAATTATTTTATTTTTTTTTTTGAAATCTTCGTCAAAAATATAATGCTATTTCAATAAGCTCTCGTCCTTTGGTGTAAATAAAATCTTGTAAATTGTTCGAAAAATGACGCGAACTATGAAGAAAAGTGCCAAAATGTTTAGTCCGAAATCACGCAGATGTACAAAGCTACAACAAACAAGAGAACGAGAATACAACACATTTGACATTTGACAAATTGAAAAGTGATAACAGTATGTAAATTGTTTACAAAAATACGCATACATATGCATACGAAGTTGAAGGGTAGTACTTATTTATTTATGTATACGAATATGCAAATATTTAAGCATAGAATGCAATTTGGGTAAATTAACTGGGAATAGAGCGACAATTAGAGGTTGGAGGCAAGAAAAAAAATTAAGGCGATTGTAAGTATTGATTGCTGTTTAGTGCTGGGATTTCTGAAAAATAGAAGTCTCCAAATATTTGCAACCGAAGAATTGCAAATTTCGTAACGCAGTCGACTTTCGACTCGATAAGTCGCGAATATTTAATGTCGGGTGCTGAGAATGATCAGACGCAAAATTTATAGTAATCATTTACTTTTATGAAAATTAAATGTTTGATTTTTTGTACTTAAAATTGTGTTTTCTTCAATAAAATATTTCCATATTCCAAATCTAGTTAGCCGATAATCCGAATGTATCTATAATTCGAAACTCGAAACTCTGCAATCATTAGTTCGGATTATTGGGTTTTGACTGTATTTTGAAATGGATAAAGTGAATATAATATTTAGAGACGCCCATAAGTGGACTTTTATGATGGAAGGTGTCCGCAACCCGGCGACACAAAAACACCGAATAAATATAACTTAAAGAAAAATAACTGAAGTATTTTTGTTTTGAGCTTTTCTTCTGTGAAATTCTTGAACAATTTTTACTACTGACCACAAACGTATAAATAAATAGGAATTAAACCTGATCGTATGAACAATGATCATTGGTTATCTCTGTTCTCAAACAGAAGAGATATTGCCAACCTGAAAAAGCCCGTGAGACTACTGTCAGAATCCCTTAGAAATTGAACCAGCTAATGCGCTTTACATAATAAAAAAACAATCTATAATATTCGCTGAATTGAAAAATCGTTGGTTGGATATCCCAACCTCTTTCCAGACGTACCCTTAAGACAGTGTTCGGTTACTACCCCGACTAGTAACCTAAAAGACCAGCGGTAAAGCCAAGTGAGAGCTTTGGATCGATTTAGATACCCCAACTTTTCTGATAGATGAGTTTCACTGCTCATCTGGTGTTTACCTCCGAGATGAGTGTATGTAGACTACAATCTATGAGAAGGCCATAGATATTTCCCTCCCTTTCCTTTCCAGCGATTTCTAAGAATTTCCATCCGCTCAGGGACCCTTACAATGGCCAATGAGCATTTGAATGCAAGCTGGTTGCGAATTATTATTGTGGCTACTTTTGAGGTGGTTCCATTCGATTTTAGATATTAAATAGCAGCCTGGCTCTGGAGGAGCAGAAACTACATACGAGCATAGAGAGCGACCTCTACTATGGCGTTTATTTCAGCCTGAAAAACGCTATAATGGTCCGGTAAATGGAAGTTTTTGAACCTTTGCTTATCCGCTTTTGAGCTCTCTTCATAGCTGGAACGAATTTAACCTGACATCATTGCATTAGCAGAAATTTGTCATACAGTTCCCACGGTGGAAGATTAAAAATTAATTCCAGATAATTGTTGCGTGTACAGTGTATAGGGTAGTGCTCGCATAAAATCATGCCATCCGTCCGCTATATAACCGCCTTAGAGGCGCACAGCACGTTAATGGCTTTTCTTGAACGATTTTCAATGTTTCACTTCCAGGCGAGTTTCATGTCTACAACAGTCCCTATGTACTTGACCACGTTATGGAATGAAAAGAGGAATTTTATATTTCCTCGTAAAGAATACCATCTCGGTCTTGGTATTATTGATTCCACATTTCTTACACCAGATATTTACAAGGATGAGAGTATTTTATAGTAAATAAGTCAGAACTTACAGATGTTTAGCCGTTGTTACGATTGCTATATTGTCAGCATACGCTATGGCTTGACAAGTGGCCTTGAGATTTTACGGTATGGCGTTAGTGACAGAGTATAGTACATAGAAGGGAGAGTATAGTACATAGAAGGGAGATTCTCCCGGTGTTCTCTGTACGAGAAGGAGCTCAGAAAATTCACCAGCCCCCGATGGACCAAAGCTAAAGGCGGAGCTTAACAACAGATTTGGGATTGAAAGTATAATAATTGGCGGCCGAACATTTTTTTATAGTTGGTACGAATTCCTGTAGCGTGGTCTCCATGGATTTTTCCTTAGAATATTCTTAGGGAGGTTATCAATCTTTAACTTCCGCCGAATATATTAATTTGTAATCTTCTCTAGAGTGAAGCTGCCCTGTTATTTTCGCTTTTGTCCACTCGTGTGTATAAAGCGGCTTGTAATTGGGAGGAATGTATTCGATTAAGTCGCTCAGCGTTGAATGGTTGGAGCCCATTTCACTCGGTCATAAGGGAAAAATTGTTTATAGAGTCGTCAGGCAGAGCACCTTGGGAAGTGAGTGCTCATAAGGATTTCCTATACTCCGTACTGATGTCTCCGGATTCTACTAATTAGGTTTCATTTTACCCTTCGGGCCTTCGGGACAGTGAAAGCCCTCAATTCGGAAGAGGAGGGGGCGTATTCTGCGATAGAAAGACCATATGAAAAAAGATTTTGGCGTCAAGTAGACGCTGTTTTTTAATTAAATAATGTATATTCTTCCTCTTTTTCGGCTCTGTAACCGCCTAAGCGATTTTAGCCGAATCCAAAAGAGTACAGCAGTAGTTTCTCTTCTGTGCAAACTGACGCCAATTGGAAATGCCAAGTGAAGCCAAGTGAAGCCAAGTCCTTCTCCACGTGGTCGTTCCAATACAGAGGAGACCTTCCTCTTCCTCTTTTACCAGCACCGACCTGTATTGAATACTTTCAGAGCTGAAGCGTTTCTGTCCATTCGAATGATATGCCCCAATACTGCCATACTGGTCTGCCAATACTTTATTTAAATTATTTAAACAAAGTCCACGTATGAATAACCTGACTCGGGGTATCAGCAGGCACTTTTTAATAGCCCACTATAAATGGTGGTTGGTTGGTTGTAGTGCCTCCCAAGTTTCGCTCAGGATTCAATTAGCTCATAATGGTACCATTTTGGGTATTCCAGTACCACCGCCTGCGAATCATCCAAACAAGCTCCCGCCTTGGTAAATTAGTCTGATCTCTCGTTGCCGTCTATATTGCTATGACCGGAAACCCATACAAGAGAGATAGACACTTACTGAGATGCTGATTTTACTTTTCTAGTAGTATTATTATTTATTAACCTACAGGCCTCACATATGCCCAGGACTTTGGCCTGAAATATGCTGGCATGGTTCCATAGCCGCAAGGACTGAGTGGTATCAAGCTCCTCTGAATATACTCCTTCCTTCACACCGCATTCCATCTTGGATCCGTCAGTGTAGATACAGATTTCTTCCTTATCATCTGCTTGGCCTCTTCTCCATTCCCTTCTGGATGGAAACCGCACCAGTACATTCAAGCCAAAATCCCGGATCGATACCGTGTAGTCCGTAGCCTTATTTTCTATCGGACCAATGCTCAGGATTGGGCTATGCCCGAATGTCTTCGTTTTCAATAGTACCTGCTATTGAGTCTTAATTCTGAGTACATCACGATTTGTTTTAGGCATAGAATCAATCGAAATCATATTGGGGACGACACTCAATGCTTCTGACGGAAAGGATCCCAATGCCCCAATGATTCCCGAACAACTATGTAAGTCGGCTGAAGTACTAATCCGCATAAAGTTTGTTTGGCATTTGTACAAGCAACTTTCGGTTAAAAGCATCAATCGCCTGGTGTGAACAGCCGTTCAGCTAATCGCTTCCAATTAAGTTTTGATGGCAGCCAACTATTGGTTCAACTATTGATGCCTACAAGTCCAGCTTAAAACTCGAGTCGTAAAGAAGAAAAAATGTGTACTATGTACTATATTTATATTTTAGTGAACACGCGTGTATGTAAGTAATTATATAAAAAGTGAAGTTCGAAATATTTTCATTAGAAAATATTAGATAACCAGCTGTGGAGTTATAAGATTTTTAAGCACTGCTCGTAGTATTCCTGTTTTCTAGCATATTTCCACCAAAGGCGTAACTGCAGTTAAGACTTGGTGGAAATGAACTATTAGACAAAACTCGTGCGGAAACAAAAAAAAACTTTCTTTGGACATTCTGTTTATACACACATGAGAAATATTATTGTTGTAGTACTTGTAGAATATATACTCTTCCTTAGTTCCGCACCAATTAAAAATGAATGTATGTATGTACATATGTGTATAGTATAAAGGCGACTAAGCTGTTATTCTGTATTTTCGCCTTTAGTGCTTTTTATTAGCTACATAGTAATTTACTTAATACAACTTAACACTTGATAAATTTCAGCGGTAATACATGGCACATGGTTAGGCAAGCAGACGGAAAATTTGTTAGTAAGATCAGCGCAAGAATCAAACAGAGAAAACATCGAAAGCAAATCGAAATGTGAGCCAATCAACTGAATTCAAAAAAATATATATGTAAATCTTAAGCGAATCTGATAACTTAATTTCAACATCAAAACATCAAATTACCTGCTGCCTGTGGCGGCACTGCTACTGCCACTGCCATAACGATCGTCCGATTCGTGAGCGTGATGTGATGCTGGCACGGGTCGTTGGCGCGTAGAAGAACCATAACCGCTGGTGCCGCTGCTGGACGGAGTTGCATAGCTCGACGAGGTACGCGAAGAGGCGTCATCGCGCGAATTGCGTCTAGCTTCCAAGCGATCGCGATAAGAAGAAGCGCCACTCGAGCTGCCTGCACCTCCCGATGAGAGTGCACTGCTGCCCGCTGAGCTCTTCGCGGCATAGCTTGAGCCGGCTGTTGCAGTTGTTTTCGACTTATTGTCTACTTCGTCCTCGGATTCTTCTGTGGAGGTTTCTTCCTCACTACTCGATTCACTTGCTGGCTTCTTTTTATCGCTGCTAGCAGCTGCACTGCTATGTTGTGGCAGGAAACGGCTAACGAAGGGTTTCTTCTCAGTTGTTGCAGTTTTGCTGCTGCTGTTGCTGCTGCCGGCGTTGGCGTTGGCCACACTGCTAGTGGCGGCGGCTGCTGCTGCGGCTGTGGCACGCGTACGTGCGGGGCTCTCGCGAACACGAGAACTGCTCGGTGCTGCAGCGGCAGCTGAGCTGGTAGAACTTTCTGTTGACGCTGTCGAATCGCTGCTGCCCGAACGGGTGGTCTTCTTCACGGCCGCTACCTGTGCTGACACTGGCGCCTTAGGCTGTTGAATGGAAGAAGAAGTGGGTGGATTTGGAGTTGTGTGAATGCCTTCAACAATAGATTCATCAGCGTCAGAACTATCGCCGCTATTGGGCTTTTGCCGAGCCGATTGTAGCGGTGATTGCGGCGGCGGTGGTGGTGAGTGCTGCTGCTGCCACCGCAATTTATAAAATAGGCGGCAATTGCGACAGACAATGTCAAATTAATTGTTGATATTAACGTGCAGTGATTGTATGCGTTGATGGACGAAATGAATGCAAGCAACAGCGAACGCGGAGCGAAAGAGAGCGTGCATGTGTGCGTTTTTTTGTTGTTTTTTTTTTGTTTTTATATAACGGCAGAAATAACAATGCGCGATTATGTATGTATGTATGGATGTATGTAGAGTGAGATGATAGGAGAGAGAAAGAAATGAGAAAGGTATAGAAATAAGATTTGGTAAAAAATCGACAATGTCAAGTTCAAATAAAAGATTCGCTCGAAACAAGAAACGATGAGAAATTTATTGAAAATGATATAAGGTACTCACTCGTATGTAGATGGGATTGAGCACGCATTCACATGGCATGAAAGGTAATGGAATTGCCAAATGAGTGGATGGCATTCGACAAGAAATGTGAAATTTTATATTTACAGTAACCGGGGTCAGTACATGAGAACAAACCAGATTTGGAGTAATTTGATTTTTTAGGGGTTCAGTGGATGGGAAGTGTGCATGAATATGTAGGTAAGTGAACATAACACGAAAAAGGACATCAGAAACTGATAACAATCGAAAAAATGGCAAAAAACTAAAATTAAGTGAAAGCAATCCAAGGTCCCTTTCTAGCGCTCTTTCAAATAAAAAGCAGCGCTAGAACATACGTAAATTAACATCGCGCCCAAATCTTTTTCGCATTTAAAGGAAATTTTTCGTGGTAGGAATATTTACAAAAATGTACAATTTTACTACGATTACAAATAAAACAGTAAATTTTAGCGGTATTTTTTGCAGTATATGCTGCAAAATAAGTTTTCATTTTATTTCGTTTTTAAATATTTACCTTAATGTGTAATAGAAATATTTTGCAAATCTACTTGAAACACTTTTTACGAACATTCCGCTATCGAAAAGGTACGAGATGTTCAATTTACGAATTTGTATGAATACATATTTATTACATAGTTATAGCATAACAAAATCTAGTATAAGAAAATAACAAATGTATGTATGTGGTAAGTATTTCTGATGTCCGCTTTTTGAAGGCATACAAATCAATTATGTAGTTGCGCCGTGGATTAAAATTCAAGCAGCTTTTAATTAGGTCTTCCATAAAAGGGACTAAGTATAAGATAACGGGATAAAAGTAACACGGTGCCGAGAAGTCATTAGTACCCAGAAAATTTTATTTTTTCGATTCATTTATTTAATTGGTGTGTATGCCTTTTCATTAAATATAAATTATATGTCAGATTATTAAACCAAACAAAGAAAGCAAAATTATATATGTATGTAGAGTATTATTAAAAAAACACATTCAAAAAAATTTTAGTGCAAAAAAATTTTAAAAGAAACAAATCAAATAAGGTGAATATTAATTATTAAATTAAGGAAAGTGGAAAGTGTGAATGAAAACAAAGAAGAGGACAAACAGGTATATAGGCTTACTTCTAAGGTTTTGGGTAGAAATTGCAAAACGTACTATGTAACAATTAAATTAGAATTAAACAAATATCAGAGACAGTACACGTAAATATACTTTGAAGATGGCCGTGCTAGGCTGACAGCAGGAAGTATAGATAAATGGGTTTAAATTTTTTTTTTTTATATTAGGCCGGGTCAATTTGTTTGGAAGATGTTTTCGACTATGCCCTTATAGGATTCTACGTGTGATTCTAAGCAAATTTTACAAAGCAACCATTGGTCTAAAATCAATTTGAAGTTTGCCAATTTGCGAAAATATGTTCTACCTGGGGCACAGCTGTGAAAATTTACACATTTTCTTCGAAACCTATTTTCGCAATTCGGCAAAAAACCAAATTAATTTTAGATCCGTGGTTTCTTCGGCAAATTTGCTTATAATTACACGTAGAATTCTCCTATGCTATACGCGCATAGAAAAAAATGTACCTACATATATACAAGTATTTAAGTTTTAAAGGATTTTTTCTCGATTTTTAAACTTTATTGTGCAAAACTGGTACTTTCTTTATTATTGAAAGTATGGCATCTCCCTAGGTATAACTGGTCCATACTTTTCTAGCCCATAAAACTGCACGTCTTTAGAGACGAAGAAAGTATCAAGCAAATTTTTGGTACCTTCAACTGAACTGACGCGTACTGCCATAAGGGCGTTCTGCATAAACCGCAACAGATGGTGGTCTGATGGTGCAAGGTGTGGGCTATATGTCGGTCGAACATCGTCCTGGTGGCGGATCAATGACTCTTGTCTGGTTGCACAGTTCTGCCGTTTTTCCGCAATCTCTTGCTTCAATCGCATCATTTGTTGTCTATAGAGAGCCCCGTCAATCGTCTGACTACTTTTCGGAAGCTCATGTTGAGGTATTCTCTTCTAGTCCCACCAAAGCATTGCATTGCCCGGTTTGCCTCGCCTATGACATAAAAATGCAAAAACCACTTCGCTTTGCTCCATTGAATGGGCATTTGGGAAACAGTGACATGCCGTTCGATATCTACTGGTTTGAGCTCATGAGGCACCCAGTTTCCGACTTTCTAGTCACGCGTAATAATTCCGCAAGCTCTTCTTGGATTTTGCAAGAGTCTCCATCTTGGCGAAATTACCTCCAATGTGACCACTACAAACGCGGATGTCTTTCATTTGCGCTCATTGTCGATTATGTCAAAAGCACCACTTTTGAAACGCCATAACCACTATGCACAGTTTAAAATTTATCGAGGTTGCCCTCTTCAAACCTCACACAACAGCCGCAAACTTTCTGTTGCCCCTTTTCTTCAGATGGAAGCAAAATACTAATTTTTTAATAACTAAGTGCTATAACTTCGAAACATACTTTCTAATCTCCTGCACACTTTTTTTCTATGTAAAATACACCGCACGCTTAGATACCTTATCTTAAAAGTCAACCTAATTATTTTTAGCTGAAAACTTTCTTCAGCTGATCTCTAATTAAATCCTTCTTCAATTTGTTATCAAAGACCTCCCTCAATCGCAATATTTCTAACTTCCCCTTAACTGCTATTATCATTATGCGCAACACTTTCTTCCTCCCCGCTCTCTTCCTCTTCCGTCTCTTCGGTATCGGTTTCCGTTTCAGTTTCGGTCTCCGTTTCCGTTTCGGTGTCTGTATCCTCTTCTGCGTTCTCGCCAGTATCTACTTTATTGGCCTCAGTTTTATCATCTGGCACTCCTTCCTTACTGCCACTTGTTATTGTTTCTTCTTGCTTGTCCCCAACTTTTACACCTTCGTTTGCCTCATTCACTGTTCGGCCTATTCCTACGCCGTTCTTATCGTTGTGTTCAGTTTTTTCGCTTTCTACTTCTTCCTCCTCTACAGCGGATTCATATTGCCCTTCATCACTCTCATTTGTTTCATCTTCTGTTTCTTCTTTTGTCGCTAATTCTGATACAATAACTTCACATCCGGAATTAGGTACTTCTTCCCTACTCTCCACTATCTCTTGAATATTATCTATCTCTTCCTCCTCATCTTCTTCTTCATCACTTTCTTCCTCGTCTTCTCGACTTCCTTCAACATTCTCTGCCATATCGTTTTTGTGTCTTGCTCTCTCTTCATCATTACACACTACTAAATCATCTTCACTTTCCGTTTCCTCCTCTTCTGTATCTTCTTCTTCCTCCTCTGTCTCTTCATCTCTTGTTTCTTCTGTTCTACCACCAACTTCCTGCTGTACGGCCTCAACCCCAGCCCCTGATGTCAACCTACTTGTACGACTACCGCTTGGTTGTTCTTCTTCATTTGCCTCATTCACACTTACCTCAGCCCTTGGTGGTGGCGTCCTACGCACTGGTGAAGCATGATTAGAGCTGTCACTCTCTTCGCTGGTGCCTTGTGCCACTCCAGTACGCTTCAGTGCGGCTACACGGTCCGCAGGAGGTCGCTCAGATTCAGCGGTCTGAACAGCCGTACTGCCGGTATTAACTGCCGCTACTGCTGCTGCAGCACCACCTGGTGTGCTCTTATTCTGGCGCTTAATGCGTCCAATTTCATCGTCTTCGGATACTTGTCGTTGCGCGGCCGCCGCCTGTTGCCTCGGACGCTGCATCGACGCTTTTTGTGCTTGAATCGCCGCTTGTACAGCTGCCTGTGCGGCAGTATCCACCTTCTTCTCTTTTTTCTCCTTGCCAATATCCGCCAAACGTTGTATGACACGCGCACAATCACTCAAGCGAATAATGCCACTGAGTTGTCCCCGTGACACATCTTCGCCGGTTAGTACGCGATCCTTCTTCTTCTCCAACTCTTGCTGACGTTGTGTTTGCTGTTGTTCACTGTCAGAGTCCTCATTCTGATGAGAGCGCACGAAACGGGAACGAAAGCGCGAGGACTTTCCTGTGCGGGATGTTGGCTGTTCGTTGTCAAATTCATTCTCGTAGTCGTAGTCGGCACCGCGACCATAGCGACTATTGCCGCCATCACCATATCGCTCGTTGTTGGCACGCACTGGTCGTTCGCCGAATTTGCGACCACCCAAAACCGGTTCGTCATTATAGCCGACACGATCCTCTTGTTGACGGAATTGCGTAGCAAGGCGGTGATCGCTCTTCGAACGCATCAAGCCTGGTTGTAAGGCAGATGGTGGCGCCAAATGTGAACTGCTCAACGAACCTGCGGGTTGTGAGTGCGGTGCTATGTTCAAGTCACCAAAGGTGGCTAGATTCATTACAAGCTGGTTGGGGTCAATGGACACTAGAAAGCGCACACGACGTGTATAGTCCGCATTCTCATATTCGAAGTGGCGTAGGAACTCAACCGTCTTGAGGAATATCTCTTTCGTGTCCATCAATTCGCAGTCATCCCATTCGACTGTATCGTTCATGTACTTATCGACAATGTCGCAATTGCTATTAATATTCTGTATCTCATGGTCAAGATTTTCCTTGAGCGTTGTCAGATTGCGCATCTCGACTGTCAAATAGCGATCGACTTCACCCTTCAGCTGGTCAGAGCGATCTTTAATTGCCTTCGTTATACGTCTATAGATCTCGTCGATCTCCTCGCTCACTCCCACGCAATTGGTTTGCAGGCTAGTAGTGTTTTTCTCAATAATAGCAAGTGTGTCTTGCAAGCGGTGCAAACTGCGGCGAATCTATAGAAGGAGGAAGAAAACAATTTTGAGCAAATTCTTCATGAATTTATAAGAGTTTGTATTTATTTACTCACTTGTGAATTGAATCGGGTTATCTCACGACGCAATATGTCCATATGGGCGCTCTTGCAGTCTTCGCAAATTTTCTTCTCGCAATGCGCGCAAAATGAGAGATACGATTTCTCTGAACAAACACTGCAGCGCTCCATAATTTGCCCTAGAAGAGGAATGTCAATTGGAAATGGTTATTTTGCGTGAAAGTTTTGTCGTTTTCTAAGGAAATTTTTAATTATCTAAGTAGTAGTATGTAGTTTAGAGACCGTGTCACAAAAATATTTTTTTTCTTCACCCTGTAAAAACTCCTGAAGCACTCTCATAGTGAGTATTCAATATCTTCTATCTCTTTTACCTAAACGTGACAAGGTCCAATGTGAATACATACACATTTATGTACCACATATGGCAGTGGAAGTCTACTAACCTGATGTCGGATCTGGCAATTCACCGGTTATCTCGATGTGTAACTCAAGGAAACGCTGCAATGTGACATTCGTTGGAAATGCTTGTACTCCATTGTATGGGATGCGATGTTCTGCACGGCACTCAGGACATTTTACCTAAAAATTATACACATGCATGAATGAAATTTTTTAATCAAAGGATGGTGAACAAATTTATATCGGTTAGCATTAAAATATATGGAACTGATGAAATCACGCAGAAACGTCTTAAATGCAATGCACCGTGAGCCTCAAAATCAAGATTATTTAATTTTATTGCCAATGCATGAAAACTAAAACCAAAACAGACAGACAGCCGGTTATTTTCTATTGAAATAATTTAGGCCAAATGGCGAATTTAAAATTTGCCTTGAAAAAAAAAACAAACAAAAAGCGTCTATCTTTTTTTCCTACGACAATTTTGAAGGACCTACGAAAAGCAGCGATGACAAATAAATAATGATTACGAGTATTTTGTTGAATTTTTTCCAGCTCTACTACAAAGTTAGAGTTGCCAGATCGAAATAAAAATAATGATGCAGGGTGGAATCGTCAAAAAATAAATCGATCTCTCATGACTACATGGGCAGCACTCCATATACCCACACAATTTTAATAAATTTCTTGTAAAATTGACTTCATAATTCTACAATTAATAATTTTGTAATGACAGGCTTTTTCCATGTTGTCAGTGACAATTCGATGTGTGGGTGTTTTCTTTCAAAAAAACCATTTTCACCACCTCTTAAATTCCATGAGAAATTCCATTGAAAAAGTGACAAATTGTCATTGTCGGGGTAAATCATATGTAATAATTGCATTTGCATTATTTTAGTTTTAATAAATATTCAAACTATTCGAAAAGTAATGAAATGCGCGCAATTACCATATAAATAAATTTACAAAACTCTCCTGTGAAAGCTTTCCGACGGAGCTATTTGGTTTTGTCACCATTGTCGCGACAATTTTGTCAGAGTGACAATTGTCAGCACAATTGTTCGTTTTTCAAAAAAATTCACAGTTGCCTACAGACGTATATGAAAAAGGAAAAATGTCGCCGACAATTCTGGCAGTGAAATTTTATAGAAAAATTGACTATTCTCGAAACTGTCACTTTTATGATCTAGGCCCCAGATCACTCGCCTACCCAATATAACTTTAAAATTTTGGAATAGTTAAAATAAACAAAAATTTAAATACAAAATTTTTAACTCTAGTTTTCGTAACTCAAATTAAAAAAAAAATCGAATCTAACAAAAAAAAGTACCTCTTAAATAATCTTTTTTTACGTAGTTATACATATATTTATAAACATAATTAATATTTATTTGTATGCATCTATAAAAGCCAAAAAGTCGTAATATGTCCGACTTAAAGGTATCTTGAATGCAAATTTCTTTCGTCCCTTCATGGGTCAGAAGTTGCAAAATACTTTAAGCTAAATGCAACTCAAAAAACCTGGGGACATACATACATAAATATCTATTTACAATCTTTTCACCAATAAACACAAAAGAACTGATATCGAAAATAACCAACCATCGGCATTTTCCGTTTTTCTCTGATCAAAAAAAAAATATTTATCATCAACTTCTTACTTAAACTACTTGGTAATCTTAAATGCGTCGAAGCAACACACAAAGCTCCGACTTGAGCTTGATCTCACTGGATCAGCATGAAAAATCTAATATGTTATATGGCTTCATCGAATGTTTAATCCTAGGAACTCACATCACCATGAAATTCTAAATAAATTAAAAATGTTACTAAATAGCCCGCAGTAGCGCCCTCTATATTTCTTTCTCTATTAACCTGATTAATTTAATTTAATACATACTTGTCGTCGAACATAATCCACAAGGCCTTCCATACATGGCTCCATACAGAATGAATGTTGGCATGGTAACAGTTTTGGTATGCGATACCGATCAAGGCATACACAACAGGTCAGTAATTGCTCAAATTGCTCCATTTTTCACTGTAATTAAAAGAAAGGAAATATTAAAAACTTAAGCTCATATTCCTATTCAGCGCATCAAAATAAATAAGGACATTTTAGTCTCAACCCCGAAATCCAGCACTGTGAACGTATTTAAAGGCAGATCTACTTCCACATGTAAAAGCTGTAGTGCCAGTACCCGAGAAGGCATTGTTTCTATTCGAATTTCCACGAAGCTCATCACATAGACATTGACCATTACAGTATAACGTAAAAAGGTCGCCGTACACCCCTGAGTCTAAAGTATTATTATATTATTTCCCTATAAATAAATAATGTATTTGCATGTCTTTTAATTCCATCAACACCTTGACCTCAAGCCGGCATTGAAAAGGATTATTTGATTTTCTTAAATATTCATCTGCACATCTTCTCGGATAGCCAAGTGGCCATTGCGGTACTCTCTTCTACCTCTATTAGATCTCAATTAGTGGAAGACTGTAGGAGAGAGCTGGCCTATATCTCTGATCAAAACGAAATTACCCTAATAAGGTTCTTGGGACATAGGAACATTTACGGAAACGTGGCAGCGGACGAGCTAACAAGGTGCGGCATCGCACTAAATGTGTCATGGGTGCTTCGCTCAGGGACATAAAAGCGTCGATTACCGAAATTTATCACTCGAAGGCTAAGCAGAGGTGGAACCGTACACTTAGACTAAAGCTCTCTTAGCAATGAGCAACCCTATCACGTCAAGTTCGTGGTCAGTTGAAGGTCAAGTAGGGAAAAATTCATTGAATAAACCTAAAAATGCAATACAGTTCTTCTGAATTTAATCTTGGGATGACATATAGATAACCTTGCGGAATCATGGGGCCCCCATATTGGGATTCAGCGACAACAAAAAAAAAAATTATTTGTTTTATTGAATAAATTTTTGGTCTTATTTGACCCTCAAATGAACGCGAACCTGACATTATGGAGGTTAACGGATCTCAAATGCGGGTTGAACGAGTCGAAAACCCCATATATGAATTTTCAAGTTTATTCAATGAATTTTTCGATGGCAAAATACATATGTATTTAAATCTCTCTGCTGTCTTTCCGGAAAATATTGGTAGATTTTAAGTCTTTGTTGGTTAAAATGGTAGAAAATATATGAAAGCTAAAAAGTTTGTAGATCTACCAATAAAGTAATGCAATCAAGCTTTTATTTTGGCCTGTAGCTTGGCAGCTTCACAAACAAAAATATTCACATTAAACTTATGATAGGCGCCGACTTTTGAAAATATAAATAAAATACATGCACATACATATATAAACATGAACAAAAATACCAACCGATAAGCGATTGTTAGGGCAAAAACACGTTGGTTCATTTTAAAAATTTCAAGAGTTTCTACAAGTGCATTTGTGTTAAAAAAAAACACCAGAAAGCTAAATACTCGCAGTGGCCCCTGAAATTGAAGGATAAAGAAAATACAATTGAATGAATAAAATGTAGAATCAAAGTCAAAATTTTACTTTACACAATTACCAACGTATTCATTCAGTTAGGAGAAGTGATTCTTCTTTATCGCATGCATAGCCAAATGCAATTTTTTTGCTCACACATAATGTGTTGCCAGATTTTTTTTTTCAAAATCTATGAATTCCCAAAAAAAACACTGTATTTTCGGCCAAAAAACTGTAACCTTCAAAAACGAAGCGAATTCTATTAAGCATGAATGACACAAAACTAATAAATAATATAATATAATTTAAAATAACTAAACAAAAATAAGCTTTATAAATAACTTAAATCACATTTTGTTTTAATGAAGTTCAAATTCAATATTTTTTACATAAATTTCGTTGTTAATTTTTTAACAATTTGATTCGATACGTAAAGATTTTTTTTTTTTATAATTACTTCTTAAAATGCCGGAGAGTGCTGAAATTTCTAGTTCATTTTCTTTTTTATTCAATTTGTTTGGGAAAATATTTATTCCACTAAAATGGAATGGAAACGCCGCTACCTCATCGTCCCGATTCATCCTAAAAATTTTGACTTCCAAAAAAGAAAGAAAAATTTCGAACCACTGTAAGCATGTCGAAAAAAACTCTAAATCTGGCAACATTGCATACAGTGTGCATACGTACATACATACATATGTACATGCAGACGTCACAGGTTTTTCTTTCTCTATATCTACACTACCACTGATCTACATATATCTCTCTCTGTCTCTCTGCTTGACTCACAGTAATCAAATTATAACTCAATTTTCATTTTATATTTTTAGTATTTAATTAAAAGCTGACTACATTTTACTTTAAGCTATGCAAGTCTTATTTTGCCATTTTTGCTAAAATTTTAATTTTTGGGAGAAAAATTTTGCAGTCAAATTTTTAAAGAATCACGAAAAAAGGGAGCATGCCGTAGCAAAGAAAAGCTACGTACAAATTAGAGGCAAATGAGAAAAAAAACATCAGATAGACTTGTCTGTAATTATATCTATATATGTATGTATGTATGTATTATTGTGCATATGTATGCACTTACTATACATACATACATACATTTCACGTCGGTGTGTGAAGAGTATGTATTTTTAAATCATGACGGACTAGTACAATATGGCAGTGACCGGAAACTTTCGCATTGACGTCTGCTCTAGGAAATTAACAAAATAAATGCGTTTAAAAGTTGAGAATAAAATATACAACATACGTACAGTACATACATATGTATAGATGGTCCCAACTTGTACGTTGGCTGATAGTTTTTCTTTCGAACGAATTTTACTAAAACAAACGTCTTTTTTATAGAGCCATTTTGTCTTATGAATCCACACAAATTTTGAAAATAAAACTTATGAGGGTTCATGGCATCACTAAGGGCCGCCGTCATAATTTAGAGCACAATATAGACATAAGTTCGTATGTATGTATGTAGTTATTTTTTTAACCTTGCAGACACTGCAGTGAGCCTCATCAGAGAGTCCCATCTTACCTCATGCAAGGTTACAGCGTTTAGTCAGTTAGCAGGTAAGAGTACTCAGGGTCTCGTGGTTAAGTTTCAGAACTCATTCAGCAGTTCTCTAGAAGTAGTTATGAATCTCTTCGATCATTATTTCCCGTTTTTCTTCACATTGAGCGGTTCTCTTTTTGTTCCGCTAGGTCCAACGTTTTCTGGAGAGTGTCGACCATGTCCAGAATACGAAGACTTCTCATTTGTAGCAGGCAAATGTGGTAGTAAGGATCATATAAGAATTTTAAGCTCCGAATGCGGATTGGGAAATGATCCGGCATAACCATCAACAGAATATATACTTAGTCATGACTTTGTAAGCGAATAGAGGTCCTTTGAGCGCCGCCGATCTACAGCGGCTAAAAGGACCTTTCAACTGCCCATGTGTTAGTATTTTCCCAACGCAGGTCTAGCTAAGAAAATTACAATCTATTTCAAAAAGAAACCGCGGTAGTCAGTGGCGTTCCCACATCCTCGCTTTCCAGTATTGTCTTCTAAAAATAAAGTCGAATAAGAAAATATTCCGACTAGATGAAGAAAGTGGTCAGCTACGCCCGAGCTAATTTTGAGTTCTCATTTTCGTTGTTGGTGTTTCCGACAGGGTAAGAGTATGATCACCATGCGACAAATACAAAAAAAAGTTCGAAACACATGAAGCAATTAATATACTCACGAAACTGTGGGCCAAATATAGTAAAACCGCGTTTTTAGTTTTTCTTTCTGACGTCAGGATTTTTTTAAAAGGACTTCTTTGTTGTAAAGATATGATAAATTCCAAAAAATTTTTCAAAAATTTATTCCTATGTAGAAAAACCTAATTAAAAAGAACATTCTGTAGAATTAAGAAAAGAATTAAATTTTTTTGGTTCACAAGGACGAATAAGTATTAAATATGTCCTTTAATTCGTTTTACTTTTTTAAGTGAATAAAGTTAGAAGGACGCAATTATTCGAGCATGTGGTCGAGCGCATATTAGTCCTTAACATATAATTTTTTCAAAAATAATTATTGCCGAATTTCGAGGGTATTCAATAAAAAAAATGTGAAAAGGAGATTTTCAATACCCAATCGTCCTTATATACCAAAAAATGTAGTCGGCCTTAATTCTACAGAATTTTCTCTTCAATTTGATAGTCATTCTTTTTTCTAAATTGCACTGAATTTTTTAATTATTTTTTGAAGTAATTATATTTTTCCAATTTCAAAGTCCTTAAAAAATCTTGACGCATTGTTACTATATTTGTCCATGGTTTCGCGAATATATAAAATTTTTTGTGTGTAAACTTAACGGTCGAACGGTTTTTTCTATTAGTAATAGAGAGTTTTTTGTTAGAGACGGTTTTGAGAGTGTTTTTAGATACGAGGTTTTGCCAAAGTACCGTCGATATATAAAATGATCCACTTGCAACCGCATCTGGTTAACACACGCTACAGACTTAGGCGGACCATTCAACCGGATATGTCGGAGTAGGTCCACCCCTTTCTTTCTGTAGTGTCACAAGACACTTCACACATTGGCTGCTCACGTTGTCGAGAGCTCGCGAACGGTGACGCAAAAGTTGGACTTTTGTATAGTCGTACGAACGTTACCGCAAACCCAGCAGAACGACTACACCCAATTGCAATCACTTTAGGCTAAACGCGCTCCAGCGTTATAGAAACCGAAACTTTTATGGTTTCCACCATCCATGTTCAATAAGTCTTCTCTCTAATTATGACTAGTGTAGGTATGCCTGTTGTGATTCCCAGCTGCGTGCGCCATGTGGTGAAGCATTCCCAGGATTACGCCAAAATCGATTTGATTTACTTTTTGCAACCAGTCTAGTGCCGCGTATGAGATAAATAATCGGTTCTAATATCGTATTGGATGACCAATATATCAGTTTTCGCGGCGCCCCTTATGTTTTACTATGAAGTCTTTGACAAGCATAGAATGCCTTAGTATACTCTTTGGTAACCCCTGTGAAATGAGAGTTTCAGTTGACTCTTTTGTCCAGCGTACGAAGTCTTCTTATAATAATTAAAGCAGATACTCGGTAAACTGTAGCAAATAATACCGTGTAAAAAATTTTCTGCGCCGAAAACATTTTTTTTTTTTTTGCCTTATTTAATGAAAAAATTTCAAATGAAACAAAAATGGTTGCAGCCTTAAACTTTACCCAGAATTACAGCGGACGACAGTAAGCGGTCGGCGGTAAGTGAACAGTTGAACAGTTTCCGCAGTGAAATCCGTCAGAGTAAACACAATTGCGGCGCACGACAGCTTCCGTCAGTAGTCATTTTAAATTGAAAATTATCATTAAAATTAAATATTTTTTTGGTACGTGCGTGTATGTAGATTTGCTGGCAGTAAAAATGGATGAAAACCTTCGAAAACTTGAGAAAATAATAATAATTACCATGATAAAAACATAGCAAGGTAGAACCGTCCTCTCAATTTGTCGGCCATGATTTCTTTGAAAATAAAAAATTGAAATTGTTCGAAATTGTTGTTGCTTGAGATTGAAAATGAAAATGTGTGTGTGTGAGTTTGTGAGTAAATTTAAAAATTAAATTGTTTGGAAACGTCAAGAATTTTAAAAGTGACTCTCAGCGGTTCTACCTTACTATATTTTTATCATGAATAATTACAACAATCAACACTCAATCAACATTGTGCCGTCCCTGCCGGGCGGTAGAAATAGAAATAAATTTAAATCGACCGAAAAACGTCGACGGTAAAAACGCTGCCGCCGCTATTGTGAGCCACTTCATATGCCTTTGTGAGTTTTAATTGTGGCAGGGGTTAACCTTCGACCGCTTTACTGTCCTCCGCTGCAATTCTGGGTGGAGCTTTAGGAAAAGAGGATTGCTTGGAAGGAAAAGAGTATAATTTTGTAACTGGCAGTGAAGAAAAAGTATTGAGCAATGACCTACATAGATCAGTTTATAAATAAAAGCACTTTAGCCTTTTTTAATCGGGTTTCCAAATTATACAAAATGGTGGTCAAATTAACGTAACTGTAGTTGAAAAACTCGGACGAAAAGGATTACCCTTTTTGGAAAACATAGTTTTGTCTCGAACTGCTCGAAAAGACTCTTTTCATAGCCAAATAGCCATAGGGAAAGGTTATCCACTCATTCACTCTATAAATATAAATATTCACTCTATAAATACATTTATCTACTTTAAGGTACAGTTTTTCCCTAAATTAGGCACAATTTGAAAATTCACTATCCCAGAACCCAGAGAACCAGAAAAAAAACAGCTGATTGTTATTTGTTCAATAAACATACCTCAAAGTAAAAACTAAACATACCCAGCTGGGTTGCATGAAAAAATTCATTTAATTAGCACTCACTAAGCACTATTAAGGCAACTAAGAATTGAAATATTTTATGTTAAATCGAGCTTACTTAGCGCCCTAATTGAGAAAGTTTTAAGAAAGCTTTAAAGCTACTCGGTAGTAGCATCATTTATAACGACAGGATTATGACTCTCCGACGTTGTACTTCACGTAAATTACTTGAGCTCATTCATGGACAAACAAAGGCGACCCTTAAGTTTAGGTCTGAGTTTAACTTAATCTTAAGACCAATTGCAACCATACTTTTAAATATTTTTTGAGAAAAGCTGCAATAAACTTTCAAAGAAAGATTCAAGAAACATTCCACTGAAAATTTGTTTTACAACGCTCCAAAAACATTGGATGTGACTATTTTAGGTATATGTAATTCCGCAACGTCCTTATAGCGAGCCCAAGTAGAAGTAAAGATCGCTCGTTGAGAGCACCAAAAATAGTTAGTTAGGCTTATAGCTTTCAATGGGGTTCTCTGGGATATTTGATGTCATGAGAACAGAAATGGCCTAACATAAAAATTTTTGTTTTTTGTACAAACCATCTTAAAATAGTCTCAAATGTGAAAACTTTTAAAATAAAGGTCACTTATTCTTTACATAAGGTACAAAGCTACATTGCATACCACAAAATTAAGGAATAAGCGACTTTATTTTTAAATTGCAAAAAATATTAATAATACGTGGGTTAGGCCACTTCTCATGGCTCTCATGTAAATAGTTCATAAGTCTATGTTTACATTACCAAATGTCGTGAAAACCGTCCAAAACTTAATAAATCTACTAACTTACTAAGGGAAAAAATCTACCAAATTTGGCAGGAAAATACCAAATAAAGCAACAGTGTAACAAACCCATTGGATTTCCGCCCGGTGACGCTAAATCTATATTAAATTCTTTCCTATAACGTCAATAACGCCTACACTTTTGACTTTTTTAAACAGTTAGCTTAAAAAAAATCTACGTACGCATGACCAGCATCATGAAAATGAAAATAAATTTCACCACTCATCACTGTTGCATTCTAAACAAAAATAACAGCTTGAAAGAAAAAAAAAATATTAAAAGCTTTTAAACTGCAAATTCCTTGCATTGCTTTAGCAAATTAGATTTCAACTTCTGTGCCATTCCATTTTTATCCATTTCAGCGCAGAGGAATTTTTGCATTGCACTGTGCATTGCAAATAACTGCACTAAAAGCAGGAATTTGACACTAATAACTGCAAAAATATTTTTGGCACACATTTGGTAAGCGTATACGTCCGCTAGCTACATAGTCCCCGGCAAACACAGCCGGTCTCAGCAAGTCGAATTCATACATATTTTTGTGGCGCCATAGTCCGATTCAAGCAACTCACCAATTTTAGTGGCCACATCAAAATTCTGCTGCACACTGTGCACGTTCGGTTTTTTTTTTTGTTAACGCTATGCGGTCTTTATTTTTTGCTCACAGTACTTCAAAACTAAAATTACCGCTAGATTTTTACTTAATTTTTTTTGTCTAATACTAAATCACAAGTAAATGTTGGCGTTCAAAACGCACTTTGGTTTATTTTTTTTTTGTAAATATTTTTAACTACTTATAACAGTGCATGGGTTTATTTTCGTTTTTAATTTTCGTTTTAATTTTTTTTTTCTGAATTTTATCACAACTTTTTAAAGCTTTTAATTTCAAACACCCATCGCTTTTAAATCGATCGATTTTCGTTTTACGTTTCTACGAGTGCATCTCTTATGTTTTCCATAAAAAAAGTGCAATATTATTTTTTTTACTTCAGCTAAATTTGCGATTTATTTTTTAAGGTTTTGAAACAAGTACATACATATATAAAAATATGTAAAAATAATTTTTTGGCTTTAGTAAAACTTTACTCGAAAACATCCGCACGCGCACGAACTGTTTCAATTTAAAGCATCAAATGAACTGGTTGGTAATTTTTAAAAAATTTCGAGCGCATCTGCGGCTCGTTGCTACAAAAATATCTTTTTGAAAACGAAAAAAGTCCGAGAAGAACGTGAAAGAAAATGAGGAAATGGAAAATCAAGGAAAATTAAGGAAACATCAACTGCGTGTGTACACAATGAATATAGACTATGTACACGATCCAAATACATATAGACGTATGTATGTATATGTACATATGTAAATTAGGGTGGAGCAATTTAATTTCGAAAAAGGTATATTGGCATATTCGAATTCTTCGTTCGACCCTCCCAGTTTGAAAACTAATATCAGTGTACTCAAATTTTTTTCTGACCTAAAATAATTTTTCCTTTACAAAATTTTGTGTGTTTCTTCTTGAAATATACTGTTTTTCCTTTTGAAAATCGGAAGGGTCAAACGTCATTTTTGGTATATAGTTTGTTCACAATTTTTGCTTAGAATTAATCGTAGAATTTAAATTTGCTATACTCTTTCTTTGAACATTTTGCTCCGAAAAAATTACTCCGCCCTAATGTGTGTACATATATACATATATATGTATATATGCGTAAGCATGTGAAAAATTATTTACATACACATATGAACGTGTGAGTGTTAGTATGGTTGTAAATAAGTCTAAGAAATTGCATAGATATTCTCTCGATATTTACTTGTGCGTATTTCGGGAACAGATTTATGAGAAGCTGGCCCCCGCTGAGAAATAAATGCTTGGAAAACTATTTCTACGCATCAAATTATTTCTCTTTTAACAAAGACATTAATTTAAATTATTAGGAATATGCTTAAAATTCTGGCAACTGTCTTCCAACTATACACAGTCTTTCGAAAGGCAATTGTCAACTCTGGTAACTATTTTAAAAGCTCTTTACTCTGTTCCGAAAGACTAATTAAAAGATTTCCTACCGAACAGATCTTAGCGTTATGCTGTTCGCCTTTGAGCAAAAAATTTTTAATAAAAATTAAATTAAATTAATCAACAAAACATACTTTAAAATTATAAAAAGGAAAAAATAAAAGAAAATTAAGTTAAAAATAGGAAAAAAATATCAAAAAAGAAAGAAATAGTACTTATAAATTAAATTCGATTAAAAATATTCTTATTTAAAATACAAAAAAAAATAAACAATTTAAAAAAATTTAATAAACTCCAAAAAATTGAATGAAGCAAATAAAATATATTTATTTCTTTTTCAAACAAAAAGCTCAAATTTGAAAGAAAATGAATTTACCAAAAGAATAACAAATTAAATTTAAAAAAGAGAAAAAATAAATAAAATAAATTGCTAATAAGTAAATGAAATTTATAAAAATTTATATTTTTACAATAAAATCTAAAAATTAAAATAAAATGTAAAAAGAATGTTAAAACCATAACAACCAAGCCATTAAAAAAAGTTTAATTAAAAAATAAATAAATACAAACAAGTTTCTAAAAATTAAATTAAAATATATATATCCTTTTCAAAAATAAAAAATCTGAAAAATTAAATTAAAAAAAGTAGATTTAAAAAAAGAGAATTCCGCTGCGCCAGCACTGATACTCGGATCACCCGATTGGCATTCCTATGATTTGCCGCCCACTCGGCCATTGCGACTGTTTCAATCACAATAGCTTTTCACCACGAATGGTGAATGAGAGAGTTTTTTCCTAAGACTTGTATGCTAGAATAACAGAAATCTTTCGAACTATCTTGCTATCTGTCTTTCATTTGTCTTACTTAGTCCTTGGAGAGTGCGTATGTATGTGCGAAAGAGCACAGGCTCTTTCAATGATCCAGGCATCTGAGAAAAATCTGACTACATCTAACCTTCGCTTCTTTTAAGTCAAAGAAGGAGTAGAAGGTTACTACTTTTACTGAACGCTTCGAAGCATCCATTTTTACGAATGGATAAAAAATTGAGTTTGGCTTAGGGAGAAGGTTTTTCCAACTGCACTCTAAAATTCTAATTTTTCCGCGGAGCTGGCTATTTTCCAGACCAGAATGGAACATAAAGAGCCGGCGAACGCTTTATATGCATATAAAGCTCTAATCACAATAGACGACCAATTTATTCGCCACTCGATCCTCAGAGCGTACGTTTCAACAAACCGGCATATGCGGGCAGTAGAACGGCATTACCGGCACAGACGTACCGCTACCAAAGAAGTAATCTGATTCAGCGAAAATATGTATTTTTTCACACACAAAGGAAAATTTTGCAATCTAATTTCTTTATGTTGCAAGCTTGTCACTTCAATGGCAATTTTTTAAAGAGTTCCGGATGTTTTAGTTGCTAATCACTACTTCTCTTTTAACATACATATGTACATACAAACAGTAAACCATAATAACATTCAATACATACATACATATGTACATAAACTTTACTTTTCAAAAAGAAATAGTGACAAAGAATTACATTCACTATTTCCCTAAGTGAGCAGTAATCGAGAGTGTAAATTTTCTTAAATATACCAACACTTATTTATTTTCTTTGATCTTACGTACAAATGTATGTATAGTAGGGTGGTCCTTAGCTGTAGGAAGCAAATTTTTACATCAGTTCTCCTAAGCCTCAACCCCTAAGTCGATGCTACTATAGTCGAAGATATCACATATAAATATTGGCCTCGATTGTAGTCGGTTGAGGCGTGGCGCACAGGGGTATAAAATTCAGATTACCCTATGATGACGCCTTAACCGACTCATATCGGTACCAAAATTTGTATGAGATATCTTCGACTACGGTAGTATCGATTTTGCGTAAGAGTTGGCAAAAAAAATAATTTTAATTTTTTGAGTCTCTGTAGAGGAATCTGAAATTCGGCCCCTGTGCGACACGCCTTAACCGTCTCCAATCGGGACCATAATTTGTGTGTGACCGTGGTATTACCGATTGAAGGGGTGAGACTGAAAAAAGTCGCACATTTGATTTTTAAGGACCACCCTAATGTATATACATTAGACCATACCAACTTACAAGCAAACAAAAAAGTCGCCTTGCACTCCTGAGTGTAAAGTAATTAGCAATAAGTAGTAAAGCAATTACGAAAAAAAACATAGTTTAGCCGATCCTAGGTGTAATCTTTTTAGATTTTTCGATGGCAATTATGTACATACATTCGGAAATTAAAAACTTTTTTTTTAATAAACATTTTTTTAGATCCGTTTCGGTCCGTGAAGCGATGCGGAAGGTTCGGAAATCGAACTTAGATTTTTCCTCCATTGATGCATATTAAGCAACGTTTTTCCCTCGAAAATCTATAAAATTTAAAAAAAAAAAATTGATTTGCGACTGAAAATGACGAGGGCTTGGCAAATTCCACCTTTACAACTCTAGAGATGAAAGACGACAGAATTCATAACCTGCCTCTCATTCTCCTCCAACTACGACGCTTCTCAGAGAAGCCTATTGAAAATAACTCTACAGAGATAAAGTAAAACTGCGTTTTTAGTTTTACTCTCTGAATTCAGGATTTTTTCAAAGGACCTTGAAAATATGACTGCTTAAAAAATTAGGTGCAAAGAAAAACAGTATTGGTATCAAATTAAAGAGAAAATTTTGTAAGAGCAAAATTCAAAATGTTTTTTTATTTCGATCCGGCATCTCTAATAGGTATACTATTTCGTATGCGCATAATCTTGCAATTACGCATTTGTTAAATGGGTTAAAATGCCATATGAAAACTAAATGCAAATTAAAGCACCTCTTCAGCTCCCATCATCACTGAATCCGACATGAAATCACTGTTTCATCGTTCAGTACTATTTAGTACTAACCACTTTGTTAATGAGATTAGCACGCGCGTGTCCTAAGCACTGAGGCCTGAGGCAGGCATTAACCATCAGCTATAAATTCGCAAATGATGATTTTTTAAATGAAAATATTATTATGATTTACGAATATGTACTGCACAAATAAATACGAGTTTCTGAAGAATAAATATTCACTTCAAAGTTGATAAAATTTCCTCGTAGGAATATTCTTGGAAAAGCAAATATAAAACTTGAGTTCACTCTTTAAGGCAAAGCTGTGTGCGTTTGAGCGGAAGTGCGAAAATGCGAAAATGCGAAATTGTGTAATATTCGACAGTTTTTTACAACAAACATATGGCAACGTTTCGCATAGCTGAAACCCTGACTGAAATTCAAAGAGCGAGAAAACTGTGGCTGAACTGTTCAAAATTTCCCCACCTAAGCAACAACACTGTTCTCATTTTTGCCTTTCGCATTTTCGCATCCAAGAGTGACTTCTAGCAAAATGTCACAATAAAAAGAAAATCAAAACATCACTGATGCTGTAACTTATGATAAGATAATTTTTTAGGCAAGCTAAAGGTTTTTCAAACTACCCCTAGTACAAATTATAATTTTGTTCAGACGTTTAGATTTCATATAATTTTTTAGTTAGTTTAGTTTTGTTTTTTCATAAGACATTTTTACGATAAAACGGGGCAATGGAGGTCTAACCTTTTCTCTTCTGGGAAAAAAAAATCTCAGCTGTTTTTTTGCTTTCCAGTAATCACAACAAATATTGAAAGAGTATTTTCCTAAATCAATTTTCATAAAACGAAATCTATACATACTAATGGAAAATAAAATTTTAACTGGCCAATGTCTGTAAATTATAGTTATTAAAGTAAAATTGATATAGGAGTCTCCATTAGAGCAACAGAAG